TATGAAGACTCGTAAAACAAAGCTTTCCAGCTACATGGATAATGTCAGGGTGTGGGTCGTGTCTGGTTGGCAACAAGGAAGGAGAGGTCCCTGGACCTTTGGTAAGCTAACCCAGTTTTCAAGCCTTATTTTGGATGCTACGCTTCTCATATCCTTTGCTCCAAACACACTAAAAATCTCTCTCAGTGAATTGCTAATTCCTGTTCATCCTGCAAAGTTTAGTTATTCTCTCCCATTTTGTCTGATACCACTGCCCTCTGGGTAATGTGTACCCAGCTCTGAATAGTCTTTTCACATGATTGCAATTACTTAGAAATTGTCTCTTCACTAAACTAGGAATTTGGGGATGGTAAGACATCACTGTCTTACTCATACATGTATCCACAGCACTTAGCATATTGACATATACTAAGGATTAGCTAAGTGTTTTGGAATGAACAAATAATTGAACTGAAAAAAGTGTGAAGTGCTATCTCTCTGAATATGTCAAGAGCCAGCTCTAGAATATGAGTCACATTTCTTAGTGTTTTGCACTTAGATTCATAGCTGGTAGATGTGATCCCCAAGGTTATTTCCTCCCAGCCAGCTCATTTTGGCAATGCCCTCGCACAGCATTTCTGCCTTTCTTACTTGCCTACACATTTGATAAATCAACACACCTCTCAATTTATTTTGTAAATTAGTGATTCGCAACTTCACTGAATATTCCCATCTTCTTGAGAGATTTTTAAAAATTTCAATGTCTGGGACCAGTCCCCCCAAATTCTGATGTAATTATCTTTGGGTGGGGCCACAGCATTGAGCTGAGGATCAAATCTAAGACTTTCAAATGGTTGGTGTCCAATGGCGATGCTCAGGATGACCTCAGCTAGGAATTCCAAAGAGGTATAACCACAGACGATTGAAGACTCTTCATACCAAAGAAGCATCTGAACATCTGGCCTAAAGTATGCTTTCCCTTGTCTTGTCTCTGGGCTTTCCCTTGTGCTGATTCCTCTGTTTGGACTATTCTTCCTCAGTCTCCAAATGAAGGATCAGCATAGACACCACCTTCAGGAAGCCTTCCTTGATCTCTTAACTCAATCTTCCTAGGACTGGGTTTCCCTGTGATGAGCTTCTTTAATATCTTTTGTTTATCCCACATATAATACTTATCTCACTGTAATGACCTGTTTTCTTGACTCTATTACCCATTAGATTATTAACAATTTGGAGAGCATGGCATTGCCTTGGTCATCACTTTATCTCTAGGATCCAACAGTATATGGTGAGTGGTCAATAAATAATACAGAATGTATAAATAAATTTCATGTTTAATAATCTTAGCAATGCTAAAGAGCATCGAAATTGAGGTACTTAAAATATATCTACTATAAACATTCATGTTCCAGACAATGAAAATTGTTTTTTAGTTAGAATGTAGACAATATCTGACACAATTAATTTGGTGACCATTTTACACATAATATACTATACATAGGACATCAAAAGGTTGATGGCATATTTAACTGCAAAGCTGCAATTCTATAGTCACAGGTCATTGTCCCAGTTAATTTACACAATGAACAGAGAATTGCCAAACTCGGAGCATACCAGCCACATCTCAATGATGTAAGACTGAAAATCTGGGTCATGGTGCTGTTTGTTCTACCAATCAATAACATATTCAAAGTGTAATTCATTACATAGATTCAAAGGAATGATTAGTTGCCTTGCTGTTCCGCTGAAGAAGTCTGCAAAGCAAAACACTCTAAATAAATGTTCCATATTGTTTCATTTGAAGCACCAGAAAACATACAACACTTTTGCAGAGCAGAATTATCCAGGAAGGCAAGAGAGCACTTTTGCATTTTGGCTGAGCAAAAAATCCAGCCCTTGAAAGGACTGCTTAGGGATTTGTCTACATGGCTCTCATTAACACTGATGTACAATAGGTGATTAAAATTCTTTCTAGAATAATGAAAATGCATTCTTTACAGCCTTTGTGCCAAACCGCTCCCTAAATCTCATGAAATAGGGCCATCCATAAGAAAGAGAAGCACAAGTGGTGGTATGTTAATGTTTTGAAATTTTTCTTCTTCTTCTTCTTCTTTTTTTTTTTTTTTTAATTAACTAGAAACAGTAATAAAATCCATGGGTGGAAACTTTAGAATTACGGTCTGGCATTTAAATGCATTCTGTTAATTATTATTTTTATTATCAATATGTTCAAATATAAATAAAAATATTAGAGGACAATATAATAAGGTAACCTCCAACCTGATTTTGCTACATTTGTTTCAGAAATTTGGGGATTCTTTTTGAGGAAGAAAATGCTACAGATAAAACTGAAGCTCCTTTTTTGCTCTTGCCAAATTCCCTTCCTTTCCCTCCTTCTTTAAATCATTGCCTTGATATTATTGTGAATCCTTCATGTTTATGTTTTTGTTACACCTTTTCTAGGTATGTTTGTATCCAAAATACTTCATAGTTTAAAGTTTTTAAACTTTATATGAAAGTTTATTGTATATACTGTACATGTAACATTCTTCTAGGGTTTTTAAATATTTAACATTGTTTTACAAATGTATCCCTATTGTTTCATGCAGAGCTAATTTATTTTAAACACTGTATATTATCATATTTTATGAATCTGTCACAGTTTATCTAGTCTCCCACCAATAATCCATCTAGGTTGTTTCCATTTTTTCTCTATTAGGAACAGTGCAACGAAGAAAGTTACTCTAATTTTAAGTAACAGCACTCCAGCAACAATAACTACTTCAATAATTAAGAACAGGGAAAGAAATTACTGGCAATCTTGATCATGTCATTCATATTTAATTTTACTAAGCACCAACAGCATGGTCAATCAAAAGTGTTTTTGAGTTTTTGTAACAAATAACTTCTAGGATACTTACTATGTAGCAGGCAGCATCCACATGCCTTACAAATAACTAATTTACCTAATCCTCATAATAACCCCATAGAGTAGAGATGGCTA